TCAACTACTAAAGTTTCACCTGTCTGTCTGTGTGTATCACATGTACCATGCGTACTGTTGCGTGCATGTATGTGTGTGTGTGTGCACGTGTGCGCATGTATCCAGGCTGTCTGTTTGTGTGGTCTGATCAGTGTGTCATTGTGTGTCCCCTCTCCCTCTCCCTGCTCCTGCCAGTCACCCCAGAGGCCATCGGCTTCCTGTCGGCGGTGGGTGTCTTCATCGTGGCGTTGGCCGTCCTCTTCCTCTTCATCAACAAGAAACTGTGTTTCTCACGTGTCGGCGGTCTGCCCTGCCTGGAGGTACACGGTCGTCGCAAGAAAGGACGGGCTGGAATCCGCCAGGGCCTCGGTGAGTGACTGACAACTCAATGACAGTAACATGCTTACTCGTGTAGGAGAGCCAGGGTCCATAATGATCACATATATATTTTGTCATAAATTCACAGGACAGCTTCCAAAAATGATACATTTTACTGAGAAGCAGCAAAACTGTGGTGTTTGAATTTTAACTTTTACTAGCCAGTGAGTCCTGCCACACTTCAAGGTTTGTCTCAACTAGAAACATCTCAGAGAGAGTACACGTCTCCTGTTTCCAGTTTGACCCCAATTAAAGTGTTCAGCAGCAGAGAGAGAACGTGGGAGAGTTTGTATTTGTCCAGTGATTTCTGTGGGCGAGTTTGTATCTATGAGAGAGGGAGTTGCGTGACTCAGCCGCATACTGCTACAAAGCTGTTCACGATTAAAAAATGTTAACGCTGCGAAAGCTTTATGAAAAAGTCCACCTCCGAGGAAATTCAGAAAGAAACACAGAGTGCAGGATACTCAGGGTGCAGCTTTTGTTCCCATTTTTGTCACCCACTTAAACTTTTTTCCTTCCTCCCACTTGTCAAACAGTGCAAACACGCAGAGCAAAGGTTACCATAGGTTACCTTTTATTTAATGTCCCATAACCTGTCTTGCAAACATGACCATGAGCCACGTTTACATTGAAGACAACACTTCAAAATCAAACACTGTGTACTCGGTTAGAAATATAAAGCAGATGGGATATTTTTTACAACTGTGCTACTTCTACTACTTTATTTTCTAAACTATATAAATTTCAAAGCTTGTAATTTGATTAATGATTAATGTTTTTGAAATTCACATTTGTATGACGCAGACTTCAGTCAAGATGGAATACATTTGTCATTATTGCTAAATAAAGCTGTGCCTTTCCTACTTTGACAAAGGCCTCTACCACACCAGAGTTCCTGCTGTGAACATATTAGACCTGATCAACTGGGAAGACGCTAACATGGTGCCAGTTACCTGTTTAAAAACCTGTTTTATTGCACCTGACCCATCCTCACCTGTGTCCAGTCCCAGTGTATTAATAGCTAACATATTCCCACTGGTCTTTGGCACATTGTTCTTGTTATTCCGCTGGGTTTCATTCCCGACTGCCGCTTTTGATCTTTTATTGCCACATGAACTGTTCACGACCTTCCTGGTCAAACCTTTATCTTCAGCAACACATCACTGAATCACCAAAGTGGTTTAAGGTTAGCCCTGCAACAGATTGGTGACCTGTCCATGCAAGGTGCTCTGTGCCTTTTGCTCTATGATGGCTGGGATAAATTCCAGCCATCAGCAACCCTTAAATTTATACGTGGAAGAAAACAAGATGATTCCGGAATTTCTTGCGCAGAGTTTTTCTTCAGTAGTAACAATTTTTTTCCTTTGCCTAATTCTTAAATTGAATATTGATGAATATAATTGTTTAATTTGTATTAATGCTGACAGAAATTCTAAAAGACCTGCTGAGAGCTTCCTGAAGAGGATAAATCCTTCAAACCAGCTCAGATCTGGTTGAGAGCCTCTGAATCATCTTAGCATTAAGAGCAAATTGAACAAGTGGTCAGCAGAGGTAAACCCATATTTGCTCTTATTAAGGAAGCAGAAATGAAAGAAGGGCATGTTCACATTTGCTACAGAAGGATGGTGGAGACTGTGAGTCAAACTGTGAGCAAACATTGGCTTGTTAGTTTTTCACCTGTAACAGGTGGAGCCTCTGCTATTTCCAGTTAGTTTCCTGAACAAACAGCATATCCTGTTTATAGCCTCTTCATAAGATTCAGCTGAACGTCTGTGGAGTGTCACTGGATGAGGTAGGAGCTGTTTGAAAACTCAGGTTCAGTCAAACTGTGTGTGGAAACAGGTTTAACTTAAACTCTAGTCTCAGGCTTAAGGTTAATTTGACCTGTATTTTCATCAATATTCCAATACTGAGGGCTAATAAGCTTGAGTTATGTATGTTGTTGAGAAGTGACAAGTACAGTACCAGTGAATGTCCTGTTAATTAAAGAGATTTTCTTTATCCTATTCTACAGAGTAAAAAACTGAATCACATTGAAGGAATTAAGTAGTAAACAAATGTATTTAAAACATTGTGTTTTATATTTTGTATTCCTAGTAGCTCAACCAGCATCTGGCAGTGTGATAGCTGCTGTGTTTTCTGTGTGGGGCGAAAAATGTTTTTTTAATTATAACTGAATAAATGTATAAATAAATACTTTTATACAGAAATAAATAAATAAACCAAAAAAATGGAAATGAGAAGAGCACTGAATTAAAATGTCTTTTCCTCACAGAAACAATTATTGTGGCTATTTCGTGATTTTTACTTTTCTGTTATTTCTTTTTTTTTTTTCCTTTAATGTAATTTCGTTGTTGTTCTGTCTGTATATGAATTAGCTGGGTAGTCCTGATCGCAATCAAAAGCAGAATTCGTTTTTTCTGGGTGAATCAGACATAAGCAAATAATTCTTATCAACTACACATGCTAATTCTTCACCTAGCCTTTTGTAAACAACAATCAATGGCTTTGAGGTCAGACTAGTGTTTCTTACCTTATGAACACTCAGACACAAATAAACAAATGTATAAATTTAACATAAATAAATATAAGATTGTTTATAAGGTTGGGGAAACCTGCAGTCAGCTGAGACTGAAGAAGTCACCTGGATGAATGATGAAACGTTTCTCCTGAAAACGCTGCGTCCAGATGAACAGATTTAACCTTTGGAGATAAATAAATACAGCGACATGTGCATATGTGCAAAAAAACAAACAAAGTGTTGAATTATGTAAAATTAATACATCAGATCTTTATAAATAGAAATAGAATAGTAAACTTAGTAAGACATAAATAAGAAATAGAAATACAAAAATTGCTTTGAAAAAAGAAAGAAAGAAAATAATGATGTGACCTATAAATATATAACTAACAAAGAAAATATTAAATACAGATCTAATGAATAGAACAACAAGTAAGGCTATAAATACTACAGTAATGATACTTACAGTCCTGCCCTGTTTTAATACATTTGGATAGCTGTTGAACTCAAACAGGCAAGCTTAAAACCAGCACAACACTTGAGCTAGCATGTTGTATTTTCCTTCATTTACCATTATCAGCTATGATCTTTCCAGGCATCATCATCAATGATGAGGAAGATTTCAGCACCATATTGGTGTTTTTTTTGTCACTCAGAGGATCCCTGTGCGCACGCTGCTTACAAGAACACCCAAGTCTGTGTTGCCATAGCAGGCTCACTCATGGTGACCTGTTCACAGCATAATTTAACACCGTTCTTTGCTATTTTAAAGAAATCAGACAAAAACTAGAATTAAGGACTGAAAACAACAGGACTGTAAACACATCAACACTGGAAACGTAACAGTTTTAGTCCAGAACTTCCCTTAAATGGAGGTCCCTGCAGATTAAAATCTTTGTATTATTTCATTTTGAGTAGTATTTCACATAATACCACATCATTTCATGCTGTTTAATATGCAGCACTGAGTACAGCAAAACAAGTAGTGGGTGTGGCTTAGGCTGTGGAGCATTGGGCTCTTTAGCCTTAAGTTTGGACCAGACCTCTCTGAAAGGTTGCTTTTTTGTTACCAAAATATTTCTTCTTTTAAATTTTGCTCAGTATTTATATGTTTATTTACACGTCTTTGAATATTTAAAGCTTCCCACAAGAACAACAACCTTTAAAAGAGATAACATTTGTATTTGAAAAGAGGATTGTGTATAATGAATAAAAATGGAAAGAAAAAATGTTTTCAGTTTAAAACAGAAATTTAAAGAAAATATTTTATTCTGTATAAATGTCAAAATCATAGTGGCTATCCACACATACGAGCATCTCCCTTCAGATGCAGTTAAAAACCTATTAAAACTATTCAGTTAGTCAGAATTATCCCAGGTTTTATGTTTCTAGCAGGCAAGCTCCTCAGTTGATCTGAAATAACCCATGTGCTTCAGCCAGTATAACCACTGAGTCGCATTGCTTCACTGTAAAAGTCTGCAAAAAGAGAGAAGTTAACAGACCAATCAGCCTTGCTCGCCCACACAGCGTGTACAGCCTTGTTTTTGTTCTGTATGTAACCATGGCAATTGCTCAGGCAGGTACGGTGACCTGCACTTTAGAGAAGACGGGGCTGATTGCTCCACTGCCGCGTCACTCATTCAGCTGTTGCTATCTAGTTATGGTGAAATTATAAAGGTAGTGGAGTGACCCTCAACCCCACTAACGCTAATACGCGTCGTTATTTTGAACAGACTGAGGCCGAGCACAGCTTTAAATGTGATCTCGCTTATTTACCTCTCGTAGAGGAATTATTTTCCTCCTCCGCAACACTGAATGGTTTTAACATGTTGGTTTGTAGGTGGTAGTTAATTGTTCTTTCACAAAAAACCTTTTGTGTTTTTGACAGACACACAGACAACAATGGCCATACAGTCAAGTGCAATTCAATTCTAGTTACAGGCATATGACAGAGTAACAGAGTAATTAGACTTTAAAGTCTTAACTGGCGTGTACACCAAACTGGAGGCTCTTGACCTTCTTAGTTCTGTTGGTGTCCTTTGGGTTTGTAGGATAATCTGTCCCAAGAAGTTTCTCCTTTAGTTTTGTCAGTGTCTTTTCAAATGTTTTCCTTTCATCTGGATTTCCTCTCCTCCTCTCCTGAACTCTCCCAGCTTTTCCCATTTGTGAGTCCCTCTGTTTCCCTGTCTTTACCTCCCTCCAGTGAACAGCTACGGCGACGACGACGACGATGCCTCCAGCTCGTCAGACAGCGAAGATGAGATCCTGAGGCAGTTTGAGATGTCCGTGTCTCGTTCACAGAATTTTCGCACCGCAGCAGCAAACATCGGTGAGCAGCAGCCCCAGCAGACTCACCCGTCACTGGGTCGACGACACAAATTTACCCGACTATCAGACCAGGAGGAGGGCAGCACTGAGCCATCAGACTGTGAAGGTACTCATCCAGATACTGATTTGGGAATAATGATAGATAAAGACTTAGCCAGCAGTAGTAATCTACTAATCTGTCCTGATGAATCCAAAAAGCCTCAAATACTGTTTTTCCTGGAGATTAGAGGCTGTAAAGAGCTCAGGGAGAGAGCGTGGAAAGATGGAGGCATATGACACTTTGTGCTTGTTGGTTTGTTTGTTTGTTTTAAGAAAAGCCCGAGGATGAGGAAGAATTAGAACGTTGCAAACAAACCAGCTCTCTTCTTTTACACTATTTTGTTTACTCTATTTGTGGTTTTTGTAGATCAAATGATCAAAATCACTCATTATCACTATCTCATTCACACCTCGCTCAGCTGCTACATAACTTACTGCACGAACAGCACCCTTATTTGCTTTTTTTACAGCAATCACAGACAAATATTTAGAAAAATCCTGAACTTACTCTTCGTTATAACATGAGCAGCAGGTGGTTGGTGGGGGTGGTGACATGGTTTGGTCAGGGTCACTCTGATTCAGCTTCTGTTATATATTTCCACCTTTATAAACAACATACACA